ACATGATATTTAAATTTTTTCCAAAGAATGATAACTTATATATTATTTTTTACCTCAATATTTTTTGGAGTAAGTACAGAATTGTAATGAAGAGAAATCATGCCTTCAAGTAGATCACAGACCTGCCAGGTGTATATTTGTGTATCTTTGAGTCTGTATTACAGTCAAGAACCTAAAACTCAAAGGAATACTGTCTTCTGAGCATGCTATCTTCATTTCCAATCTGAAGGCTTGCCTGTGTCTTACACTCTGCTCTTTACATAACTCTAAAGGCTGTCACGTCCTTGAGTATACACCCCAATCCCATCTCCTCCGGTGCTCTGAGATTCAGTAAGAGGTGGGAGAACAGACCTAGGTTTGGGGGGCCATGCCTTACCTTTGGTGCCCCTTAGACTAATTAAACAATCTTGTCTTTCTATTTGGCACAGTCATATGTGTTTCTACACCTAGAAGAGAGCAAGAACCTAGAATGCAAGGATGGGAGAGGAAATTCCCTGAGCAACTGCCACTGGCCAGTTATCTTCGGCTGGCCCGGGAGGCAGTTAGCACTGCTACACAGCCAGTGCTGCCCACCCCACAGCACCACCCAGTGTTTGCCTTCCAGGATATCCAGAGGAAGAAGGGAGGTGTGTTTGTGAAAATACGACAGGATGGCATCCCTAGCTTTAATTCCTCTTCTTCCTACACTTTCTCTGTAGCTGAGTGATAGTGCAAAGGAGGCAGAAGACAAGGGATTACCAAGGTTGAATGTTAGATTGGTCGAGGGGCAAAGTAAACTCCTGAGAATTCATAAAAAACAGGGCAGAAAGACAGAGGCTCACTGAGTGCCCAAGCACTATAGGGAGGCACAGATGAAAGCAATTCCCTCAAATTTCCTGTATGGTGCTTCATTCTCCTTCACTTCCTTAAACTTTCCTTGTTTAATACCAACAGGAGTCTATACAGTTTCCCAGGTTATAGAAGAATTAAAAATAGTCTACAAATAAGTAAGGAAAACAACTCATTTACTCTTTGTTTTTATGGGAAATTGTTTATTCACAAGTATGCTATCTGTAAGGTGCTGGAAAAAGCAGATGCACAAATATGCCTGAGAGCAGAATGAACCAGTAGGGAAAATTCAAACAGCTGTTTCTAAAACAAAACACCTGACTAAGGTGTATATCCTTCTAGTTCAGGCCAATAAAAATACACTGACTTGTCTCATAACCATGCCAATGAATCTTTTTATGTGGCTAGGAAGGAGACTCACCACATTTATTTCACTGTTAATTGTGGAATTTATGTGCCATGGTACTGTTACTTTTGAGAATATATTACTTCTCCTTGATATGGTTGCTTATTTATATGGCCATCACAAGAATTACTCGATTATTTGTTAATATATAGTATGCTTTAACTTTTCTTCATAAATTACAGTAATGACTTGTGAGTCAGAATACTAATAAATTTTAAAGGCTTGTTCATTCCTGTGGTAAAATACAACACAGATGTTGGCTTTATTTACCTTCTAATGTTATTCTCTTTTTGTTAGTAGGCAGTCATTCCTGAACAGTTTTTCTAACTGCTGTTCCACGGTATTGTTATAAAAAATTTGCTACACCAAAACAACTGTTTGGTTGTAAATGGAACAAGAGAGAATTTTAGAATAGGAAAGGGTTCTGGTGGACAGTACTGTTTCTCAAACATCTTTTAACCATTACCCACAGTAAACAAACAAAACAAGACAGAATAAAACAAGACAAAAAATTTTATACCATGATCTATCTAGCCATCTCTCTCTCTTTCATACACACACACACACACACACACACATAAAGGTGAAACATAGGTTTGGCATAAAAATTTTCCTAGTTATGTATGTGGAGTGTACTTTGCTATCTTCCATTTCACAGCCCTGTCATGATCAATCTATTTTTTGTAAAGCAGAGCCCCAGAAAATACCCCCTCATTGATTTTAGAGAGAGGAACACTGGTTTCCAGCAGTGTTGTGATTTTTGCACTGTAAGTGGGTCGGCGGGTAAAAAGTTACCTTATTCTGTTTTACATAAGAGAAACTAGAAGATAGACTAGATAGACAGACAGATAGACAGACAGACAGACAGACAGATAGATACTTAGATAGACAGAGGGATGACTATCTTCATGGATTTACCTACACAATTCTAGCAACCAGAGTTCTTCTCATATCATAAGCAGACTGTATTTTTTTATTATAATCAATACTATTTTTACATTTTAATTTTTAAATCAATACTATTTTAATACCTTAAAAATTTTTAAACATGTTTGATATGTCAAATGTGACAAAACCTAACACTGAACAGTTAATAAGTTATCATAGCTTGATGGCCTATTTTGGCATACTCAGAAGAAGAAAGTATAAAAACACATTCTCAGCCTACCACTGAGACTTGAAAATCACCATGTCTTTGGCTTAATTTTACTTTTCCTTAAAAAAGTAAACGTCTTGCAATCATTGAATCAGGGGCACAGTTATGAAATGGTTTCTTCTTAAAGACCTTTTTTATGTTATATCACTTTTGAAAAATTTTTGGAGCTTTGCCTCCAC